CAACTAATACTTTGATTTCTACATAATTCAGTCCTAGGAACCATGGCTATATTCTCACTGCTATTACTAAGCATGATAAGACTGCTTGTATTTTGTAGGCTTCATACTGGTGTGACACTTTCTGATTGGTTCGATGATAGCCAATCACAATATAAACTATCAACACATGGCTGTACTTTAGTACAATTCATTTTTACAAGATGAAAGGGTGAAATTTCTGTCTTGTTTTTATTTACGTTCTTTTCTCTCGCCATTTTTATAATTATTTCCAATATTATATGTGTAAGAAGGTACAGAGAAAAATATGAAACAAGATATATGTGGTAATGTGGTTTTACGTGATTTTTATAGAGGCTAAAGTGAATTTATCAGTGAATAGCGTTTCATTTCATAATACGTTTATTAATACTATCGCATCGTTTATAACCTGGAAGTTTTTTTTTTTTTACCAGCCTGCATCTAGAAATAACATAGTATTACCTTATCGCTTCGTATCTGCCTGCTCATGTAGCCACCTAGATCTCTTTTACACTGGACTCAGTTTTCTCAGTCGAGTCTGCACAACAAATACTCAGAGTACCATCACCGAATTTACTCAGGAAAGGGTGCAAGTTTTAACTAAATAACGACTGATTTTTTGTCTTTATTAGGACATTGAAATATAATTCTATATTGAATCAATGACATAACATCAATACACACTTCAAACAAAGTGCTCGGGATTTATGTTCCAAACATCCTATTATATATAATCATCTTTTTTGTAAGGTAAAAATGTTATTTATGTCCTAAACTGCAATTGCTGTAATTTTTTATATTATGTAGGTCAAGCGTGTGATTTTTTTTACATTTGAAACTTACCTTACAGATATCACAATATAAGAATAGTATCGTTAATTCTATTGCATTAGAACATTATCGTACACATCCATTTGTACATTCTTGTAGCACCATTAGGAACTGTAAAGAGGGATGCTGATTTATTTCAACGTGAAACTTATTATACTTTGAATTTTAAAACTTAATTTCCATATAGACTAAATCAAGATTTATGTAACACTACTGATATTTTTTAAAGTTATAATTTTTGAATTATTAAACTTTTTTATAATAGATAATCCTGTGGTAATTTTCCGATGGAGGTTTTAAAAATTACATTATAGATACAAAATAAAAACAATGGACGGATTTCCATAATCTCTCATATTTTGGATAGCTATGTTCATACTAAACTCAATATCTATAACTTTGTTTTTGTACATAGGAATGAAATTTCCCTAAACTACGCTTTAAAGTTACTTTTACATAACTTTCTTTTTAAGCTAAACTTGCTAATAATTTTGATTTTGATATTCTAAATTTAAGTCAAAACTTTATGCTTTACAAACTTTCTTTCATATTACAGGTAAACAAAGGAAAAGGTCCTATATCATTGTATCTTTGAAACATGAATGTTTGGATGAAGTAAAATTATCAGCTAAGTTAAATTAGTCTAATTTATAAACATATTTCCAGATAAACAGATATAGCCAGTTGTTAGCTATAAATATGAAAATATTATTACACCTTTGTTTTATAATTATATAGCCTTTAAAGTAACTTTGACCTTAATAATATAAATAATTACATGCGAGTATACTAACAACGATTTCATATACTCTACTTTTAGCTTATTATTACAAGTAACTTGGAAATTAAGTAAGATCAAAATTTACAAAAACGTCAGCCTCTTCAAAGGTTCAGTGGCGAAATTGAGGTCTTATAACTCTAAAATTTAGGGTGCGATGATTGTGATGGGCAAAGTGCAGAGAGCACATTGTGCAGTTTTGCGTTTAAAACCAACCAAGCAAACAAAAATAGCAGTTCTTTAAATGATTATTTTACAATGTATATTGATCAAGGTAAATGGTTGGTCGGTTTATTAGAACATTTTGAAATTCGGATGTAAAAGTAAATATCTTATCCTGGATATCTAAGGTACTATTTTACTGTTTATATAGCATATGGCTTACGAATGATGAAATACCAACTTCGCGAAATAACTTTTACTTTTCACCCAAAACGTTTGTTTCCAGTAACATGTTTCAACTTTTATTATATTTAATTAGAAACTTTACCTCTTCAAAGCTGACTGAAGACAGTAAATGCTAGTTTTAGGTGGTCTTATCTGTACTTAATTCGGTTTCTTATTGCACAAATGAGGCTTGTGAATAGAGGTTAAATCTTTCCCTCCCGCCATGTGGATCCTAATTTCACAGATACTTCCCTTACTAAGAATCGTTTGACTTTTTGCAGATTGTAGTTTTGCATCAGTTTTATATGTTCGTTTTTCATGCTCGGGATTTCTGATTTTGTGATTGTGTTAAAACATAACAAATTCTTGTAAAAAGATGCACGTTTTACGCTATGTTTCTTTTAAATTGATGCTTATTATTACGTCTAAAGTTGCACATGTGCAATAGTTCTTCTGTGCAGTGCCAACGCATGAATCTTATAACGAAATAATTCAACTGTTGTACAACTGTTTTAAGTTAGTATATATATATTTTAGACAACTGTATTTTATTGAATAAATATATCACGAACTACAAAAGACTTATTTCCTTTATCATTCTATCAAAAACGCTTTCAGGCTCCTTTTTTTGGTAATACTCAACAATACACATTGTCGCTTAGCAACAAGACTATCATCTGATTGTCCTTAGGCCAACTATGGTTTTTATGTTGAATGCTCAGTATTCATGTTGATTTGTTAGAAAGGTAATTTTTTTCACCGTTTCGTAACTTTGGTGATATAACAGCAAAATAGTTTAATTCAGAAGTTTTATGACATTGAGTTGTAGCCAAAAGCAAAGTATACTTTACCAAGTAGTGTTTCAGCTAAGCCTTTCGTTACGTTTATGTATTAGGCCTAATGCTTAAATTAGACTACAAATAGGCCTATTATTACTAATGTTATAGAGTCAGTGTTTAAAAAGTTTTAAGTGGTGAATAAATGTTAAATAATAAATATTCTTTTGGTATTTTAACGCATATGTTATTTACTTGACCTTAAAACATTAAGCAAAATAAACGTATATTACAACCAAATATCTCTTATCTTTTGTACAGTCGAATGAGTTGAAAATTTATGTCGGAATGTCGAACTATGTTTTCTAACTCCTGACCTATAATACAGTGAAAAGTTCCAAAAATGCTATTTAAGTATCTTTCAGAGTGTACACTTACTTTCGTTCACGATAATACTTCATTTTTCAGCGTAGTTTTTACTGAAAATGTGGTGATTAATAAATTACTTCGAGACTGATGAAATAAGTGGAGAGTAGGTGCATTTTGGAGGTTTTAGTTAAATTCTATATTCTTCGTTAATCATTCAACAATGGTTTCTCGTCATTTTTGACAGGCTTTTATACTTTATACAGATACCTCTTATATTAGCACTGTCTGTTGTCTGTCCATGTAACTACTTCGCAGGGTGTGGATGGATCTTCACCAAAACTGGTATGGAGTTTCATTGGGTCACTTGAGAGATACATACAAATTGGCGGTTTCACATTTTGTGTTTTACAGTTTTTTAGAGCGTTTTTTACAATTACATATAAGGGAAGCAACTTTTCATGTCCTAAGATAACCTTTCATTAATCATGAATTTACATAACAATACTCCAGTTAGTATATTAATATATTTCAACAGTGAGAACGGCACAGAGACAAACAATTAAATAAACATAAAATCTGTTTACTACATTTATCAGCGTTATGTATGATGTTTTAGGTTTTGGTGCATTTGTGCGTTTAAAATATGTTTAATTGTAGAAAATTTATAATATAAGAAATGCTGGTTATTTTCATGTTAGAGAGTGTTTTTTCTATTAACTTTATACAAATAAATTATTTTGTACATGAAACTTTAGTGTCGTCATTCTATTGAAAGTATGCACAAAAGCTGTATCGATGATTTTAATCCTTAAAGTCTATGCTTGTTTTACAACATTGATAATAAAGAATTCCAGATTAAATAAAAGTACAAGTTTTCTGCATCTTAACAAGTGTTTTAAGTCTATAGAATTTTTTTTTCTCATCTTGAAACACTCCATATTGAAAATATGTTAAAGTTAAATACATTACCTTTTTGTCTCAGAAAATAAGCCAATTTATAGTGTTGCATGGATTAAAGCAAGACTAAGAACTTTAAAATATCTCCTGGACAAAGTATGTTGTTTTAACTTCAATATAGTCTTAGAGAAAGTTTGGTATATCGGGCCTTTCTTACCATAATTCACTAATTTCTGCTTCTCAAAAAAAAAAAATAACGTATAAAAATAAAGTTTTTCTTGAACCAAATAAAAATTCTATAATAAGAAGGTTGCTTACGACTTGATACAAGCAAATGGACGTACGATTTTTATAACAGTTTGTTACAAAATATTGCTATTACCACCTCTGTCCCAGTGACTAAGCGGTAAGTCTATAGACTTATAACGCTAAAAATCGGGTTTCGATACTCTTGGTGGGCACAGCACAGACAGCTTTAAACATGAATTAAACATACACGCACAAAAAGTCATGACATTTGAATCTTAGAAAATATAAGGTTGCTGAATACAAACTTAGATGGCTATGAAATCAAGAATCAGAAAACACTTACTCACTATACTTTTAAATATACGTTTAATAGAGTATTTCTTTTTTGTAACTGCAAATAATTATGTTTCTTATCTATACTTTACATAAAGATTACTGATATTAATACATGAGATTACTGATGTTAACACAGGAGATTAACAAACTCATCACCGCGGCTAAAAAATCGTTATATTAATATTATAAAATTTTCTACGCAAAAGGATGTCTTCAGTTTGTAAGAAACGTTTTTACTACAGAGCAAGTAAGTCAATGTAACGTTAAAGATCAAGTTTTATCCTGTAGTCAGAGTCGGTTTATTTACAGGAAATTTATGCGCTGAATACATTTAAGTGAGGAATAAAAATGATGATTACCTTGTTGATTCCAAGATTATCCACTTCACACTTCAGTACAGCATCCTGTCCGACCACCACATCGACATCTTCTATGGGTTTGATGACTACTTTTATAAGAGAAACATTATTAAAAGATCGTAGACTTTACATGTTTAATATCAACATGCAATCAAACACGAACTATAAGCTAAAGGTAAAATGCCCTGTTACGCAGGATTACTGGCAGCTCATAAGAACGAAGTTCCAGGTTTCATGCTGCCCATGGATTTATTTTCTCGATTCTTGATCTTGATCACTTTAATGGCCATGATTATGCATTATTGAGAGCAATAGGTTGACTAGAAACTGGCAACACACAAAAATGTGTTACAGAAGGGCTATAAATTTCATAAAGTGTAGTTAGTAAGTCAAGGGAACGCTTTAAAACTACCAATACGGTTATCTAGAGTAGACAGTAGAGTATAAAACAATCACAGTTTAACAATACGGGCTGGTTTCAGCTTTCCAGCTGAATCAAACGTTCAGAGTATAACTAGACGACAAATCAGAATACTGATATGTTTAGCTGAATCAAACGTTCAGAGTATAACTAGACGACAAATCAGAATACTGATATGTTTCTTGGAAGTGCATCACGTGCTTTCAAGCGTTTCCTTGGAGCATCTCATATATGTTCAATTATATTCAAGTCCGGTGAACGTACTGGATACCTACTGATCTTCCAAAAAAGTTACTTAACAGTTGGACACGGGGTGGAAGTTTTATCATTCATCAGAAAAAGTCGAACCTGTTTATGGCAACACTGATGTTTATAAAAATGGATCCCCATATTGTATGGCGTTCATGATGTCATATCGTAGCACAAAAAAACCAGTGTAGCCATTAAACTGGTCCCTACCCAAACCAGTATGTTGTTTTATTTCGTGAATATGTCTTGTATCTGGTTAGAGTATGTAATATGATTTGTCTGTTAATTAGACATTAACCTTAATGTTGTTTGACCAAATTACTTGTTCTTGACACTGTTGGAGACAGGCTGTTTTATGGCCATGAGTTTGAGGAATATTTGAGGTCAACCCTCATTAATGCTGATGAACTGGAAGCAGCTCTGGTGGAGGAGTAGTGAACCAAATAGCTCAATGATTTACTGACTATAAATTTGCCACATTGATGTACGACTTACATTAGTTTTTTAGGGGGGTACATGTCTCATTATGTAGTCATTTGCTGAACAGGAAAATATGTAGTATCAAAGATTCAATAGTAGATAAACACTTACATATCAACCGCTTTACGGGGCATCCGGAACTGGTTTTATAAGAGTAAACTCAGAAATTCCTTGACATTGCTTAATAACAGTAGTTGTGCCTTTTAGTAGCTAGAATATAGAAAACTCTGATCATTCCTTAATTATTTTGAGCAGTGTAGGTATCACGAGAAAACACAAACGCGAACATAATGTAATACATTGGAATGATATTTCCGTTAGGTATCACGAGAAAACACAAACGCGAACATAATTTAATACATTGGAATGATATTTCCGTTAGCTATCACGAGAAAACACAAACGCGAACATAATGTAATACATTGGAATGATATTTCCGTTAGGTATCACGAGAAAACACAAACGCGAACATAATGTAATATATTGGAATGATATTTCCGTTAGGTATCACGAGAGAACACAAACACGAACATAATGTAATATATTGGAATGACATTTCCGTTAGGTATCACGAGAAAACACAAACGCGAACATAATGTAATATATTGGAATGATATTTCCGTTAGGTATCACGAGAAAACACAAACGCGAACATAATGTAATATATTGGAATGATATTTCAGCTAGTTATCACGAGAAAACACAAACGCGAACATAATGTAATATATTGGAATGATATTTCCGTTAGGTATCACGAGAGAACACAAACGCGAACATAATGTAATATATTGGAATGATATTTCCGTTAGGTATCACGAGAGAACACAAACGCGAACATAATGTAATATATTGGAATGATATTTCCGTTAGGTATCACGATAAAACACAAACGCGAACATAATGTAATATATTGGAATGATATTTCCGTTGTGGTTACAATCAATAAAATGCTCTGCTGCCAATTTTGGATCAAAAAAGAAAGTATATTGTTAAAACATTTACAGTACGTCATTATTTCCCTCAAATATAGATATATAACTTAAATAAAGTGAATAACAGACATATTTCAATAGTTTACATAAAGAAATATCATCTGTCTTTATCATGGCTTAAATCAATCTTTAGGGCAGTAAATCAATGTTAGTTATAATTTTTCTTTGTATGTTTGTTTGTTGTTAAGCAAAAAAGCTACACGATAGGCAACCTGCGCTCTGCCCACTTCGGGTATCGTCGTAAACCTGGAGACTTACCGCCGAGCCACATGGAAGTTTTTATGTGTTACTTGACTTTCTTTTTTTATAGAAACAGCATGGTTTATCAGCTAAGTGATTACAGATTTTATGCTTTTTATAACATATTACTTATAAATTAATATTGTCATGCATTCTTTAGTATAGAGATTATATTTAGCATAATTATTCTATTGAAGATTTAATTTCACAAGTAATACAGATTTGTACAAGAATTAATTTGGTGGGGACACAAATGTACATATACTAATCTATGGAATAGCTAGTTACAGAGACAAACGTAAATAAGTAATAATGTCTCTCCAAGGAAATATATGATTAATTAAGGTTAGGACAAACTGTTTGCTTGTTTTGTTTTTTTAAATTTCGTGCAAAGTTATACGAGGATTATCTGAGCTAGCCGTCCCTAATTTAATAGTGTAAGACTAGAGGGAAGGCAACTAGTCATCACCACCCACCGCCAACTCTTTTACCAACGAATAGAGGGACTGACCGTCACCTTATAACGCCCCCACGGCTTAAAAGGTGAGCATGTTTGGTGTGACGGGGATTCGAACCCGCAACCCTTAGATTGTGAGTCGAGCGCCCTAACCACCTGGCCATGCCGGGCCGAACTGTTTGCAGAGAGAGCACTTAAAGACGTTTAACCATGTGAAAATAAATACTTAGAAGAAGATAAAGATTAACATTTTTATCTGTTACTTGAATTGCCATTTTTGTAATTAAACGTGTTATTAATACAGTTCGCACACTAATTATTTCAAAGTTGAAAAGTTTCTGCAATTTTACATTCAGTTCTCTAGGTTTGAAACTACGAGGATACGATGAACTGAAAGTAGTTCATCGATGTACTGAAAGCTGAAAGTACACAAAGGAGATGAATTACATGAATTTTAATGCATGTTCGTTTTTTCTAGAAAAAAACCGCTTAATTTGTCTTTAAACTGTTTTCTGTGTTTTTCTACAATATATATAGCATTACTTTCGATACCACTGTTATCTTTGTGAGATAAAAGTAAAAAAAAAACAATGATTATAATAAACTGAATAAAACAACATGTAACTCAAAACACAGTTAATAGAAGTAAGTGCATATTGTATTAATACATAATACTATATGCAAATTATATTAGAGGGTAACAAAAATAATAACGAAGAACTAAGTATAATTATGCTCCATGCAACAACTTGAGGGAGTTTTTACAGAGTACTAAATATAATTATGCTCTATGCAACAACTTGAGAGAGTTTTTACAGAGTACTAATTATAATTATGCTCCAGGCAACAACTTGAGGGAGTTTTTACAGAGTACTAATTATAATTATGCTCCATGCAACAACTTGAGGGAGTTTTTACAGAGTACTAGATATAATTATGCTCCATGCAACAACTTGAGGGAGTTTTCGAACTTATGTAAAATTTCATACTTTCTGAAAGTACCATACACTAAATATTTCACTTTTCAGTAACACTGTAAAGTCGCTTTTTTGTGGTAAAACCAGTTTAACAAATGTGACAAAGCTCATCTTCAGTGAGAGGTACAAGTGAAACAGCCAGTATTATCACACCTGACGCTATTTTAACAAATACAACGGGAAATTAAAAATTAAATTTTAATTAAGTTTTTAATGTTGAATTAAAAGTGTGTACCTGGAGTGACCTGAGAGACCAATTAGGCCAGAAAGAGTTAAACTGCTGCAGTAGACTGTTTATAGAATACAGCATTTACCTATTCTACCTTCGGGCATGTTGCCGACCACAAAAATTCCTGACTACTCTTATCGAAGTACCCCGGTGGGACACCGATAAGTCTACGAGTTTACAACGCTTATATCAAGGGTTCGATTCCCCTCGGTGGACACAGCAGATAGCCTGATGTGGCTTTATTATAAAAAACACACACACGCTATTCTAGAAATTCTGTATGTGTGCAAGATATCACAGGGAATTACAGAGTACTAAGTAAAAATTATATTCTGTACAACAACTTGAGGGAGTTTTCCAACTTATGTAATTTTTTTAACTTTCACAGACATGTACAAAGCCATGTTTGCCACTATAGAATCTAATCTCACTTAGATTATAGGTCAAATGTGATCCGGGATTTGCTAAACTAGCAGATCTATCAGCATTTACAGCTTAGCTTGTTGCTGAACATTTGGTTTATTTGGTGGGCATCCATGCTCCTGTACAGACACGAGAAACGGGCATCTACTCTATTCATGACCAAATTATCCACATCTATAGCAGTTATTTTTCATTACTTGCTCTTGTCATGGATTTGATGGGATTTCTCAGAACTTTTATCACTGGTTCAACTGGACCATCAGGATTGAGATGTCTTTGTTAACAGCCATTCAGGTTCAACCATGTCACTCTACGTATATATATAAGATTAGCACCATCTGTTGTGGCCACTTGTAATGAGGTAATGACTCACCCAGGTGCTGTATTTCTGGTGGAGCCGCTAAAGCTACCACTGCAGGTTTCTTCACTACAACAACTTAGCTGAGGTTGCCATATTGCTACTACTATAATTGTGGTTAGAGATAATGCCTCTAGTAACTATATGGTGACATGGACTCAGTGTGAATTCTCTACACAAACTTATCAATGAGAATATCTTTTTTATTGGTTGCTGCATGCTGGAGCATAAGAACACATGTTCAATACGAAAAAACGTCT